TCAAACAGTTGTTCGTGAAAGTTTGTTGGCGCCTTGCCATGTTACAGCACCCTATTGCTGCAAATTAGTACTATTTGTAGATACTATAGGGGCCTTAATAATTAGAATAGGGTTTTGGGGCCCATTATACTATAACTAGATTAAATGGTATTGGTAATTATTTGGGCCCCTACATTATTCGGCTCCAGAATGTGTCATTCGGAGATTTAGGGGCAATGAGCATTCCCAAGATGTTTCCCCGGGGGGGCCCGTGCAGCTGCCACACAAGAAAGATGATCGTACTTCTTGCTGCAGCATGTCTAAGTCGATGCGTCAGAATAAGCCATAGATCCAGACCTACTAAACCCTACCTTTTTGTAGGGTCTTATTAGAAACCCTAATGTGGGATTCATAGAGACCCTACAAACAAGTTGGTAGGTTCAGGGAGCAGTCAACCAATCCGAACAAAGGAACCCGAGCCCCATAAGAGGTCTGGAGTGCCAGTGGGCGCCCTGCAAAGACCATCGTTAAGTAGCCCAGCAACCCCCAGGTTCCTGAGTAGCACCCTTCCGGCCTTTTACTTTGACCCTTGATAAAAAGATCGAATAGTAGGAAAAAGGGGGTACTTATCATAAAGGGGCTTGCCAGGAACCGATCCAGTAGGTTCTAACCATCTTTTCGAGCCGACCCCTCTCAGGAGCGGCAAGGATCTGATCAAGAACTGCGTGCGGTGCTTACCTTGTGGTATTTTTTTCCGAGCACGCGGGGTCGAAAGTCCACATGTCATGTGCATTTCAGCTCTCCCACAACTCAGACCACCTTGTCCAATGAGTCCTGGGAGAAAGAGTTCGGAGAGAACGGGGAGAAGGCACCCCGTCGAGTCGGCTTTCCAGCCTCCTTCCTTACTTAGGGGGACCTAAATACTTACCTATACCATGTTTTTTTTTTTGAGGGGGGGGGGGGGGGCGGTCCTTATTATAACTCTAGTATAATGGGCGCCAAAACCACAGTCTTGTTTTTAAGGCTCCTACGTCATAGTTTGTGTTGTATGTGCGTCCACGTGTGGTATGCTTACATACATCTTGGGTACTGCCCTCATGCGGGAACAGTCTGTAATAAGGGTACTACGAAGGGCCTTACATATCTCTATTGTGCAACTGCTACTGACAGAGCGGGGGCAGTATCCAACATGCATATATATATATATATATATATATATGTATGTATATACATATATGAATATATAAATAATATATATATATATATATTGTCTGTATATATATATATATATATATATATATATTGTCTGGACGGACAAGAATGAACCCTAAGGTCTGGGATATGCTTTGGCACCAAAGTACTTTTTGGGGACTACTTCTACGCCAAAGTCTATACCATTTGGGTATATGGACACTTACTCCCTAAACCCTAAACCCTTATGGCACCCTTAGAGAACCCTTTAAGGCACCCCCTTAACCAGGAACCCGATTTGGGTACATGGACCCTTAGGGCCTCAGTGGAAGTTCTTGACTGCAAGCACTCCATGTCTCGACTCCTCTAACATCTATTGGTTTTAGGGTCTAGGGTTTAGGGTTTAGTAAACCCTACACCCCAAACCTCAAACCCTCAGGCTTGTGGTTTCATCCCCGAAGCCCCGCAACGCTTGAGGCAAATATTCGTGGGCCCTGTGGTTCAGGGTTCCGGAGATTGGGATTTATGGCTTAGCTAGGGTTACGGTATGAGGCTTCCCTTATTCGAGATATAGAGTTGTGCCTCAATACAGAACCCTGAATCTTGGCACCCTTATTAACTGTTCCAGAAGGTACCTCCCCTAAACCCTAAACCCTAAAACCTAAACCCTAAACCCTAAACCCTAAACTCTAAACCCTAAACCCTAAACCCTAAACCCTAAACCCTGAACCCCAATCCGAAGCTTGGGAGCCTGGGTTTAGGTCCTATCCAGGTCCTGACACAGTTACTTGTACGCACGGTTTGGGGTTCAGGGTTGAATTCTAGGTTCCAAAGTGGTACCCCTGTGCTGCTTTTTTGTTTTAGGGGCCCCTTATGAAAGCCGAACAGTAGGAAAAAGGGTACCCGTATTTTAAAGGTGCTACTCAGGAGCCTAGAACTCTGGATCCTAATCTCCAGGCTGTAACTTGCATGCCATGTCTCTCTTCAACTTCCGTAAGCCCTGCACCCTAGACTTCTCTAAAAAAAGCAGTGAGAAAAGGAGCTCATAGAACAAAGGAAACATCCTTGCAACTTAAGCCAGAGCCGACAGCTTGAGTGCAAATGATCGGCTAACATTGCCCAAGATGCCGAAGGATTCACAGCTGAACTGCGTGGTCCTTCTAAAGCGTTTAGGTATGGTTTCGGGCTTCAGGTCATGTAATATAGGTGACAGAATGATTACCCATGATAATATTCCTCAGAGTTCCTTATTTACTGTTATACTGTGACATGCCCCAACGCTCTATTCCAATAATTGAGATCCCTCTGTCATGTGGTAGAGTTATCGTACACCTAGACCCTCCATCTACCCTCCACTAGACCTAAGTACCGAATATTGGGGACCATATATACCCCTATTTGAGGGTACAAGGAGGGTCCTGGCATGTTCCTAAAGCCTGGCTTATCGCACATATTCCTCAAGCCTGGCAGGTCCAGAAGATGATTATGGACGAGGCGTCGAAGTTCATGAAGGCCGCAGCATTTGGTGTTGAGAGGGGTCTAGGGGTTTACGGGCTTTGTCTGGGTTTTAAGAGAGTTTGGAAGGTTCCGTTCTTCATTGCGGATTCGGTGGTCTGTCTATTGCGTAGATGGGCGAGATGATGGGTGCTCCTGCGATGAAGGTTTGTTTGGAAAGTGGTTAATTAATGTGTGAGATCTCGTGCAAAGGCCATGTTCGTTGTGGTCTCAATGTGCTGTATCTGGATTTATTCAGTCCTAAATGAAAACAGCTTGAACGCCCCCGCGTGCATCTTTGTGCTTCTGCGTGGGTACATGGGTCTTTGTGTGTGTGCGTGTGCGTGTGCGTGTGCGTGTGCGTGTGCGTGTGCGGGTGCGGGTGCGGGTGCGGGTGCGGGTGCGGGTGCGGGTGCGGGTGCGGGTGCGGGTGCGGGTGCGCGTGCCGCGTGCCGCGTGCCGCGTGCGCGTGTGGGTGTGGGTGTGGGTGTGGGTGTGGGTGTGTGTGTGTGTGTGCGCGTGCATGAGTGGGGTGCGCGAATCGCACGTGTGCGTATACATGCATGCATGTACATGCGCTCACGTGATTTGCCTTCGCCAGGGAGGGCACACGCGGACACCTTGGATCCATATATATATATATATATATATATATTTATATGGCATGAGAATATATAGGCATGAGAATGTCTCAGATGTTTGAGCTTGGAGGCGGTGGCGAAGGATTTCCCTGACATCGAAGAATGAGCTGCCTCAGAAGCCTGCTCACAAGATAAACCCTAAACCGTAAACCCCTAGTCCCTAAACCCGAATCCTTGAACCCTAACCTAAACCTAAAACCTCTAATCCCTAAGTACAAACCCCAAGCCGAGAGGCTGAGTCCCAGAGCCCGAAGCCTTAAACCCCAACGTTTCTGAGTTCGCATCCTCAAGGGGCATCTGATGAGCGAGGCGGACCGATAAAGTCGGACCAGAGAGAGCTACTTCAGACCCCGGGGTTTAGGGGCTAGGGTTTAGAGTGATGTGTGCAGTATAGAACACGGTTCGAAAATTCAGGGTTTCGGGCTTTAGGCTTCAATGGGTTAGGTGCTTTGTCTGAAGTGGCAGGCCCATGGACTATACGAGGAATCCTCGTTAGGGCTTTGGATTTGCGGCTAGGGGTTTTGGGTCTAGGCTGAGTTAGGGACATCCTTCGCGGACAAAGCCAGTTGCAACAGTTTGTACCCACGGTTTGTCGCGAAAACAAGACCGATCATCCTACTACTAACATCACCAGGGAGAACCACACTGCCCGGAGTAGCAACAAGTATTCATACAAGCAGCAGCAGCAGCAGCAGCAGCAGCCGCCACTACCAATAGCTGCCATCATCGTCGTCCCGAGGGTCTGAATGACGGCAGTCGTAAGTAAGCACTTGTGCGGCTGAGCACTTTTCCCCACTAACCTAGTGACTGCTCCAAACAGACATACTAGCACCGGTGGACCAGGCTTCCTCAGCGAGGAATCTTAGGCCCTAAACCCGGAACGCGGAAATCGGGAGTCTGGAGGTGGTTGCGTTTTCACTAATGTCGTGTGAGCTTTGCTGGGCCCGACCAAGTAGCTGCAGGACCGTCCCGATCGGTTAAAAAGATTGAGTTACGTGCCAATTAGAATCAATTAGTTGTCTCGTTGTCGTTTTGGCCAAGCGGGGATGTATTCCTCAGGAATAGTATTACTACAGCTGTGAGCAGCTCGTTCGAGGTTACATTGACTGTTCGGCCGGTTTTCAGACAACTTGCAGTCACTAGGACCTAGAGTAGGCCCTTATTCCCTTTTTGGGGGTTCAGGTTCCCTTATAAGCCCCTTTAAACTAAAAAGGGCACCCTTTTTATTCCTAGGCTACTCTTGGGTCTCGGTCATGTTCCTGCGGATTCTTCGGTCGGGCCCTAGGCCGCGATCTTCTGTGCAGGCTTCCCAGCATGGAAGTGGCGAGCTTTTGAAAAGCCGCCCCTCCGGCCTCCGCTTTTCGGAGAGCATGTCGGCAGCAGGCACAAAACATGCGACGATCGTTGGCTGTGACATCAGACATGCCGCGAACATCGTTACCTTAGACCCTATAAGTCTAAAGTCACCCCCCCCCCCCCACCGTCCCCTGCACCCCTAAGGGTCCTTATGATAACCCCTGAACCCGAACTCCAAGCCCCTCAACGGCACACAGCGGTGGCCCCACGTGCTTAAAGGATCATGGGACTTAGTAAGTAGAGTTATAAGTACCTCAGTTGGGGTTATAAGTAATTATAAGTATAGCTACCCTAATTATAACCCTACTTACTAAGTCCCATGATCCTCCAAGTGCCCAGGCGAGCACAAAATTGGCGAAGCCAACAACATCCTCGAGTCCGGGAGGCCCGCAGCTTCTCTGCTGGGTTGTCCTTTTTAGGGTTTAGGGTTTAGGGTTGGGTTCTTTTTTAGTTTTGCCCTACTATTTTGTAGAGAACGATAACAGTAAATGAGCCCAATACCCCTTAATTAAGGAATATAACTTAAACCATAATAGGAGGCCCTTCATAATTTAAGCCGTATTCCTTAATTTGGCGGTATTGGGCTCTCTGGGAAGCTTCCCTGGGGCTCCAGTAGCCAAGAGCTTTTTTCAGGGTTTTAGGGGTTTTTAGGGTATTAAGGGTTTAGGATTCAGGGTTTAGGGTTTAGTACAGGGGTTTAGGTTTAGGGCTTTAGGCTTGTTGGGGTATTGGGGTTGAGGGCCTGGTGGGTTTTATTTAGAATACTTGGAGGTTTACAAGCGGAGTGAAAAGTACCCGAGTATAGACTATAACCATAGTTATCCTACTTATAAATTAAACCTTACCTATAGCTACCCATGAGACTCCAAATACTGACGATCTAATATACATGTACATGTCCCGGTAACTTTTCCTATAAGTAACTGGAGGCTCCATCGTTACCAAGGACCTTTTAGCTTAGGCTTAGGGTCTAGGGTACGGTGTGCGCACAAGGTCTGTCACGGATTGGAGGTTAAGGTTCAGGGTTGATATAGGAGTTGGGGTGCAAGGTTTAAGGCCTTGGGTGTTTTCGGTGAGCGAGTTTGTTTTGGGTTTCGAGTTGGGGTGTGTGCAACCTTTGATTATTGTAGGGTATGCAGCTAGGCTGAACAATACTTCACCAAAGCATCGTTTTAATTCCATGAGCATGGCATAATTTGGAAGCCTGAAGACTGACTTGTGTCTAGGCGTCCTCTTTTTGGTGGCACTATAATCGATCACAAACTCTAGTCCAATATCAAGGTGCCTATATTCAGCTCATTCTTCTGGTGGTGCCATCTCGACGGCTAATCTACGGCGGAGCTATTGGTGTAAACGGTTTGTGGCTGCTTTGGCAATCATACCATGTCTTGCGGCTGCCTGGACAAGAAAGTCTTGAGGTCTCTGTATGAAGCTCCATGAGAACCCATGTAGCAATATTCAATAACCCTAAACCTTCCGTAAACTCTAAGCCCTAAACACTAGCTCTAAACCCTAAACCCTAACCCTATCCACCCAAGGACCTCATAGTTAGGGCCCTAGACCCCTTAAGGAACCCATAATGAGGTCCCTGGAGGCATAGGGTAAAGCTGAACATAATTCAGCGATAGCAGGCCGGTGGTGGACAGCCGCGAGATGCGGTCACTTTGCTCTGATTCGAAGCGAGGGAGACTTTCCCAGACCTTCCAAAATACCTTATTCAATGAACATGCCTTAAATGATATTAGGGATCCCATTCTGTATTCGCGGGAAATTGAAAACGCTACGTTTTGTAAAGCAGCTACAAGCATAAGAGCCTAGAATGCCACCAACCAGCCGGGCTTCCTCTAGCCTAGCTTACTCCAAGTATAGTCTCCATAACGTTTGCTCCGGTTTGCATGAGTGCTGAGGGTTGTCGGTGGATGTCAGTGGCTTCACGAGCTTGCCCACCCCGCAACGGGAGTAAAATCAATTCCAATTGGAAGTACCTGTCTAGCAAGTCACTATAACGCAGTATGGTCCCTTCAATTCAGGGGCACCTGTAAGGGCCCATTACTTGGAGGGTCTCAGTAAGTAGTTGCTTTATAGAGTTATAAGTACCATAAGCCCAATTAAGGTCCCTTTCAAGGGTACCTAAACTAACTACTTACTGAGTCCCTCCAAGTAAGAAGCCTACTATGGGGGCCTTAATAACTACCTATACTATTTTGGGGTTTCCTCATTGTAGTTATAGTACAATGTGCCCCAAAACCTTATCCCAAAACCCTATTCTACTTATGAAGGCCCCTACACCACAGTACCCGTATAGATCCCCTATAGTAACCCTGATAGACCCTTTAAAGGAACCCTATTCTAATTATCAAGGCCCCATGTACCCACATAGTATATAGTTAGGTTTTAAAGTACCTATATAAGGACCCCTTGAAGGCTTAAGTATCTACTATAAAGGTACATGGAGCCTTCGGGATTATCAAGGCCCCTACATTACATGTCGCACGTGGCCCATCCTCGATGCCGCAGCGGAAGCTCCTCTGACTCCCATGACTGGACCATCTTCTTCGAGCGTCTATAAAGAATGCCCTTGTTTTAAGGTTCCTTGAAAGGGGTCTATAAGGGCTTCTATAAGGGATCTATAATAAGGGTACTGTAAGTAATGTACCTCAACCTACCAAACCCTACTTTTTGTAGGGTCCCTATAAACTCCATATCAGGGTTCATAAAGAAGAAGCTACAACAAAGTAGGGTTTGGTAGGTTAAGGTAGGAACCTGATTAAGAAACCCTGGGCCCAGAACCGGTCATACAAGAAACCCAAATACATCACCAATGTTTCTTAATCAGGTTCCTACAGTACCGTCTTATCTAGTTCTCAAACCCTGAATCCTTAAACTTGGGGTTTAGGGTTTAGGGGTTTAGGGGTGTTGCTGATTTTACATGGTACTTATACAACCCAAAATCGACCCCCCTTTCAACCCTCGATCCGAACCGCTGCATCACAGAGTCCTTTAAAGGGATCCTTTAAGGGTTCCTATAAGGGTTCTATAAAGGGTTTAGGGTTTAGAGTTTCCGAAAATAGGGGTACCTGTAGCTTTCCCTCAACTTGCTTGTTGTTCCACTTCCGCCCCCTCGCTGTATCTGAAGTTGCGTAATACTACAGCAGTTTGACTGTATCAACAACGAGGAGGTTACCAAATATTGTGCTAAACCAACTAATATGAGCACAGCCCTTACGTGCAGTGCCAAGGCAAGTCGCGGGTACGAACTCCCATAAACCTGTAAATCCTGCCCTACGCCTAACAAGCCAAGGCAAGTCGTGGATGCGGACTCAAACAATTGGGCCTCGAAGCAGACATTCGACTCCCGGGAAAAGTCGGGAGCACGACACGTCCGGAGCCTAGTTTTGACGGTCTAGGGGCGTACGGTACATAAACATGAACGTTCACCCCACGGTCCAGAGTTTTTTTGATAAGCATGAGGAGTGACCTCCTCTACCTCAGTGTTGGAGTCTAATCAAATAGAACAGTCTGATGTGCGGTTTAGCATGGAGGGCTTGTTGCAGCAGTCTCGATTTCAAGCTCCCCTGGCCTTCACCCAGTCATCCTGACTTGTAGTATCAACGTGACTCGGTAGGTAGGTTGCAGTGGATCGAGATGGGATGCCGCAGCCAGTGTTCCCAAGTCCGAGAGAACTTAAACTGCTCAAGGCTTGAAAGTCGAGGCAAAGTACTATTATAGTAATTGTAAGTTACGAATCTTTGCCATGATACATTACATTTTCATGAATGTTCAAGAGTCTACTATACTATACTGCACTATCTAGACAATATTTTTATATTGGAATCGGCAGTCTCTGTGTGACTCCATCCCGAAACATACGGAAGCCTACGCATTCTGAGCCTCGAACTCCTGAACCCCTGTAGGGTCTAGGAGGTCCCAGTACTCATGCATTCGCACAGGTTTGAACCCATACGTTGAGGTAGCATTAGTGTTACTGTTTTATGGCTTGTGTTTAATGCACAGTGACATGTAAATGTATACATGTGTAAACAGACCCTTTAACAAACAGGATGCTGATCTGATGTGTTTCCAGCAGCACTAGACATGGAGAAGTTATGTGCCTGAACAAGCTCACTTCAAACATATGACTAACTACGGTAATTTGTATTTGTGTATCCCTGTCCGGTCCCTAAATAGGCTACGGCTATAATGTGCAGGGGTCTGCAAAATGAGAGGCCATTTGTTTTGGTCTATGTGTCTATGTGTTGTGTATGGGTCCTTAATCGTGAGGGGCCAACTCTGCCGGGCCTTTGTTGAATATGACTGAATATGGTGTGTTTGCGGAAGTTCCCACGCTATGTCTCGGAAGGTTATCAGATAATGCGCTTCATCTTGGTCTACGTCGCCGAGACTTTCTACATCGTCTGAGACCGCGGATCCTGCAGCACTGCTTCAGAAGCCTCTGTACGAGATGGATACTTCTGCGTTTCCCTTGGCCCCTAGAAACCCAAAGCCCTATGGAATTTAAGTGTTCTGTGGCCCTGAGCCCCTCAGCTCTAAACCGTAGGTGGATAGGTGGATGCTCTCTGCTTGTGCTCTTGCGCCGTGCTTTCCCATAACCTTGCCAGGATCTCAAGCTCCGTGCGTTGGCAGGTCATCAAAGCAAGATGCTATAGGTTGGGTACTGCCCCCACCCCGGCAACAGTCTATATTAGGGGTCATTTTATGGGCTCTGTAGTATGTATATATATATATATACATATGTATACATACGTGATATGTTCATATGATAAAGCTATCTAGCTGTTACAGAGTGGGGCAGTACCCAAGCTGCGGGTTCACGCTAGAGTCTTATGTGCTATACACTGTCCCCTCAAGGGAATTCGGAAGTTCCAGTGCCTGACGGACACAATCCCTGCACTATCTTGAGGAGCTATGGCAGCTATGCTATGTTCCCTAATTACCATTGGTAAAACTTCTGTCCATCAGCCGTATGTAGCATGTATGTAGGGCATACAGCTTTCTAGATGCTTAGGCGCTTCGACTCACGGGAGAAGTTAATCGTGGGGGCCGCACGTACTATTCATGGCTGGGATTTCTCAAAACTATATATATATATAGGGGCTTCATTGCAACAGCGGGGTTGACATTGGGGTCCATTGTGAAGCCATTGTGAGCAAAGAAACATGAGAATCAGTTGAGGATGACGAGGCTCGGTATCGTAGTGGTGTCTGAGCTTTGCACGCATGTGCGTGCAAATGATTTTATCATGTGACCGTTTTCATTGTCGAGCTATCTACAGCGTTCCACACGGCTCTTGTTTATCTGGCTTGGCAGTGATACATGCAACATGGAAGGACTAGTACTTCAAGATGAGACCCGGAGTATATGCACCAACATGCTCTACCCCATTCGTACCAGTCGACTTTGCTGGTAGAGAAAAGCAGCCAAGAGTTTGCCGGATGGGAAATGTTGTCGCCGTCAGATCTCTAAAGCAGAGTTTACGGCTGAGGTTGAGTGCACTGTACAAGTACCCAGAGAGCCCCATATCCCTCAATTAAGGAATATAGCTTAAATCATAATATGAAGCCCTATATGATTTCAGGTATATTCCTTAATTGAGGGATATTGGGCTCTCTGGGTAGTTTCAGATCTTGTCTCGGCCTGTTCTATGGGGTTGAGATCTCCGAGATACTGAGCGAACATGACTGCCCTCTCACATGCGCGGCGCCTCCTCGTAGAATTCAAGGCTGGGCATTTACCACACCAGAAACTCAGGCAGTTCAGGGTTGTTTTAGAGGTTTTGGGAGGTTTCGGCTAGGTCTTACGGTTTAGGTGTTCCATGCTCAGACGGGTTGGATGAAGCGACTTTTGGCTCCGGGTTAGGGTTTAGGGTTCATGTGGGAGTTTCCGAAAATTAGGAGTACCTAATCTTGGGGCTTCTTAGAATATGGATCCTACTATTTCGGATGCTACATATTGGGGTTCCCAATTCTGGAAGCCCCCATGTCGGGTCCAGCGAGAGCTTTCCTAAGCTTTGTATCAGAATGTATGGCCTGTAGTGCTCAATACCAAGGACCCCAGTCCAATGCAACGCATGAGAGCGAAATGCATAGATCCTAGAAGCCTAAAAGTCTACTTCCCAGAGGGTTCTAACGGTTGATGATATAAATCCTGCAGTACCCATAGTAAGGAATATACCATAATTACCATAGTTTCGGGTCCGTCAGGTCATGCAGGATTTATGTCATCAATCGAAGTACCTGTATGGTACAATGTAGGGTTTCTATACTAGGACAAACTATTATGATCCAGGGAAGTATCCCCCATAACAGTACATTGGACCCTTTGGGCTTATCAAACATCACCCTAGACCTTTTGCATGTTCAATTGTACCCGACAGCCTGTCAGCACAAAAACCCTATGAACACACAACCCGTGCAGCCCTGAAACAATCGCAACCTGAACACTGGACCAAGTCTTTAGCTTCTAGTAGCGGGAATCCAACTCATACTTGGTTTTTGGTCGCAGTATAAGCACAGACTTCCCGATGTCCGAGAAGCCCAAAAAGCAGTGTAAGCTGACTATAAAGTCTGAAATCATACCCGATACATCCTGATCCGCTCTTCGAATCCCCTAAGCCCTACTAAGCCCTGTAAAAGCCAACCGCTTGCTGAACCCTAAACCTTAAAACCCTAAATCCCTAAACCCCTAAACCCTAAGTCCCTATACCCCTAAACCCTAAAACGCCAAACCCTAAACCCCTGAGACCCAAGGTCCTCAAACCTGACACCCCTGAACCTCTGCCAGGCGATGGGTGCCGGCTATGCCGCCTTTGGTGCCGGGATGGGCGTACTTTGTGGGGCCGTCGCTCCTCGATTCGATATCCGTTTGGGTGGCCGTAGGGGTTTAGGGGTTTAGGGGTTTAGGGTTTAGGGGTTTTAGGGGTTTTAGGGGTTTAGGGTTTAGGGGTTTAGGGTTTAGGGTTTAGGGGTTTAGGGGTTTAGAGGTTTAGGGGTTTAGGGGTTTAGGGGTTTAGAGGTTTAGGGGTTTAGGGTTTAGGGTTTGGGGTTACTTTGGAGGGTACTATACGGGTTCGTTTGGGGAGTTCTTCTAAGGCGTTCCTCTGGGGTTCCTTTTGCAGGTACGATACTAGTTTCCGGCAGGGTTCCGTAAGAAGTAGGGTTTTAAGTATGCAGTTACAATCTACCCTGCTTATAGCTCCTACTTCCCATGTCACTCGATCGTTTCAGTACGGTTGTCCTCTATTGAGGTCTACATCTGTATCAGGGTCTCATAAGTTTTGACAGGGTGCTGTAAGGGTGTTCTAGGGGTTGGGGGCTGCTGATTTTGGATCTCAGGGTTGATGTACCTTTGGCAAAGAAAAGACAGACCGGTCAAGGCAGCATTCGGACGGCTCCCGTTGAGGGCAGAGGTCCTTGCCTGTGTCCCTTAGGAGGACAACTCTGCAGGCTCTACAGGATCTAAATCCCTAAACCCTATAATCCCCTAACTCCTAAACCCTGAACCCCAAACCCCGACACCCTAAACCCCTAAACCCCCCAGACCCCGACACCCTAAACCCCCCAAAACCCCTACACCCTCAACCCCTAAAGCCCTAAAGCCTAAACCCCCTAACCCCTGAACCCTGAACCCTAAACCCCTAAAGCCTAAACCCCCTAACCCCTAAACCCTGAACCCTAGACCTTTCAACCCTGAGTTATAGGGACTAGGGCTCAAGGAGTCGGGCCGAGGCGTCGGGCTTCCATCCGAGGACTTCGGGTTCTGGGGTCCAAACATGGGACGGCGTGGGGTGTAGGGGTTTCCGAATATAGGGGACCCTTAAAAGGATCTATAAGGGTACCTTTAAGGGTTCCTAAAAGGGATCTATATAGGGTTTTGAATTTGGGAGCTTCCGAAAATAGGGGACCCCTAATATAGTACTCTAAAGAGTAGGATCCTTATTAGGGACCCCAAAATAAGGTAGCCCCAATATTCGGAAACCCCCATGTAGGTTTGTAGGGTTAGGGCGATATTTAATCCGATAGGGTCTGTGTTGGGTTCCCGAAGCTACATACAGAGTTTAGGACGTAGGGCTTATAGGGTGTAGAGCTATGGTACAGAACTTCACCCATGCTCATCACGCAGGCTCTCTTTTGCATCCACAAGAAGCCTGAACCGTCTTCCTGCACGGCCTTTCCCCCCACAGCCCCCAGTCACCCAAACATAATGCTAGCCTCACAACCCTTCCATAGTCTCACTCGGCCATATGGGAGTTTCCGAAATTAGGGTACCTTATTTTGGGGTCCTTATAATAAGGATCCTACTAATTATTCAGGGTATTATATTAGGGTCCCCTATTTTCGGAAACTCCCACATGAACCCCTGTGAGCCGAAATAGCCTAACATACCCTGCATCACGGAGCTCTAAGCTCCAAGATCTGAACATCTAAGTCGTATACGCCTGACGCGCTGAAGCCCCAAGCTTATACCTGGAGTCTCCATTGTAGTTCCTTTTTGGGGTTGCCTTAGAGGATCCTAACTATATATTTGGTAAAACCAATAAAAGGAACAACAATGGAGACTATAGGTAAGGCCTTGGTTCGAGACCTTACATCCCCACCCTCAGAGCCCTCATCTCGTGTGAATCTGCCGGATCTTTTCCTCAAGAGCCCCGGCACCCAATAATCAAACACAACCACCACCAATACTAACCTACTTGACGGCGATCCTGAACCCTAAAATGTAAACCGCAACCCTAAGGCAAAAAATAGGCCAAAAGCCTTATATAGTTTGGTCTTTGGGCCCAAAAGCCGTAATATATGAGTCCTTAGAGCCTTAGGGTAACATCAATACTATTCGATACGCAAGTAGCCAGTTGCGGGATCCTTACGACGGTCAGCGGGGGGCTTCCTTGCCCAAAGCCTAAACCCTGAAACCCCATACTTGGGGCCCTTTGGATAGCGCTGCAGAACCCTAAACCCTAAACCCTAAATCCCTAAACCCCATACTCATACTTGGGATTTTGTGGATAGCGCTGAGGATGGTCCTGCTCCGGCCAACGAGCCACCAACACGAGCTGCGGAGCTAGTGTCCCGGTCCCGAACTTCCGGGTTCGGAGTTCAGGGTGGGTTTCAGGGTTTTACGGTTCAGGCTTGAGGGTTTCAGGGGTTTAGGGGTTTAGGGTTTGGGAGTGTGCAGGGTTTATAGGGGCTTAGGGGATCAGAAATCTATGTATTGCCCTGCGCCTGCAAGCATGTACTTACACCGTGGCACTGACGGTAACGGCATGATCAGGGGGCTTCGGGTTTTGGAGTTGCGAATTTTGGATGGTTGGCAGTGACAAGCCTTTTTATGTCCATGTATCTACATTAGTGTATGTATACATATATATATATATATATATCATACATATATACATGTACTTTTTGCATATATGCCGGTATTTGGCATATTTGTAGATGAATGTGTATATATATATGTATAAATAGAAGGAAGTGGGAAGATATCAGCGCTTTGGTGGGCCTTTAGGCTGCATAGGGTTGGAGCACCATGCCCGCAAGATACAGTTGCTGCCGGCGGTAGCAGCCGCTGTGCCACGTCACTGTTGCTTCGGAAACTGTGGATCCGCTCCCTACGGCTCCGAATAGCTTATAGAGTAGGTACGATTATTTATGGATTGGATACTGCCCCCGCAGTTAGATGAGATTTATGGTGCAAGTATGCAGAGGATCATCATCCACCACATCTCTGTCGTTGTAGCTTTCATTGCGTTCCTAAGAAGAACCCGGTATTGTCATGTCCCCTCTAGAACTCACGGTCTGTATATTAAGGATGCAACTATCGGTCGAGATTCAGGTTCAGGGTCCCTTGTTGTCGGCCCTTTTTCGCCCTTGTTTGACATCTTCGGTTCGGCCTTCGGAAGGGCCGAAGCCTCCCTTGCCGCGCCATGGGCAGCGCTGCCTCGGCGAACATCGACAAATGCATCCAGGAGGCATCTCCCGAGGACCTCAAGGTGCCACCGGCTCGGAGGGTTTAGGGTTTAGAGTAAAAGCCTAAAAGTTGGAAACCCAATAGCCTCGATCCTGAAGAGCAATTTATGGGGAATCCCAGCACTACTTGGCCTTAATCCGGTTTCCACTTTTATGGGGTTTACTGTAAGGGTTGGGGGTTTGGGGGTTCATGGTCTTCTTCTGCTTGGAAAGGAGGGTTTGGGGACTAGTGAGTTTAGTGCATAGGGAGTTAGGGTTTGGAGGTGTTGGCGTATCATCAACTCAGCAGTTTGCAAACGACATGTAATGATCACAAGAATCCCCAACGTCAGAGGCTGCCGGAAAATGTTTACATGCTCTAGGATGTAGCGATGTGAAGCCCCAAGTCTTATACCCTAACGGTCCATGTACTCATATAGCATATACTCTGGAGCCCGGAAGTACCCGTGTAGGGACCACATCAAGGCCAAACTGATCCTGGGCCTTATGCATCTTAAGATCCTTGTTTTCAGCTTTGCGCGCCTGATCCCGCATGTTTAACCCCTCATCATTGGCATCCTAGAAACTTCCGTACAGAATTGGGGTTCGTATGACCAATAAAGGAAGGAGTAAGGGTATTAGGGTGTATGTTTGCGTGCAACATAGGCGAATATCTACCCGTATTGTTTCTACAGATTCGTTGTAATTAACCATACCTATAACAGCTATAGTATCAGGTAACTCCTAAGCCCCTAAGCCTTAACCCCCTAAACTAAACCCTCCTCAACCCTTAAGCCTGTTAAACCTACAGTAAACCTTGAACCCCCCAAAGCCCTAAACTCCTAAACCCTAAGCCCCTGAACCTCAAACCCCTAAGCCCTCAACCCTAAGCCCCTAAACCCTAAACATTGAACCCCAAAAGCCCTGAACCCTAAACCCGGCACACCCAATTCAGCCTACTTGGAGTTATAAGTAGGGTTTTAAGTAGGATAACATACTTATAACCCATACTAGGGGACTCATAACCCTATTTCTAACTACCCATGAACCTCCCCTTATAGAACCCCTATAGAGCCCTTATAGATCCCTTAAAGGAACCTTATAAGCCCTACTTATAACTATTCTAAACTTCTAAGAAGAGCCTCATAGTTTCGCTCACCAGGAGTCCGTAAAGCATCTCTCTGCAGCCGAGAGGGCTAGGAGACCGTGGCCGCAGAAAGATGTCAGGGGACTTCATAAGTGAAGTTATAGTTGCAGTTGTAGGTGTTTCATGGGGGCTCTCTCAGAATCTTCGTGGGTTTAGGGTTTAGGATTAAGGGGAATCAGGGACTAGGAATGGAAGTGTTCATGTAGCTGGAGCCAAAATTACGTATGGCCACAACTATGCTATCTATATCAGTGTCACAGAAACCCTTGGCTGATCCCTCAAGTAGATTTTCGGCTCTGAGGGTGTGAACAGATTTGGGCTCTGGGGGAGTTCAAGTTAACTCCTATACTACAGTGTTAAGGCTGATAAGACCCTTTCGACAAGTTTAATTCAACACGTTGAAGAGCCTGAAGAGCGCAACGATATGAACTCTTTCACAAAAGTCACTTGCAAACCCCTCACAATCATCCTTCAACAACCCCTTACAGGTTCGGAGTTCGGCGCGTCAGGGTTGTGGCGTTTGGGCTTCACTGTTGTGTCTTTACGGCTGAGGGCTTTAGGTTTCGGGTTTTAGTTCCAGGTTTAGGGCACCTCAGTACTTCAGGGTTCTGGCCTTTATTGTTTAGAAGAATATCCCATGGATTCCTGATCATGGCAAAAGTAGGAACGACGGCAACACAGAGTCCTAAATATTTTGGGATCCCTATGTTATAACTTATAGTTTTGGGATCCCTATAACTTATGATTAACAGTCATAGTAACTATAGATTGTACAATATACCCCAAGCCAAAACTCTACTTTGACCATTACGGTCCCCATATGATCATCACCTGAGCAAGGTCGCGAGTTGTAGTACGAAGTGGATAGCGAAGGCCAGAAGCACGTTAAGCTGTATCCCCAAATGACCCCGCTATGAAACCCTCAAAGCCTCAAGATGTCGACCCCTACACCCTAAAAATCCTATAGCTGGACCCCGAAAGTATGGGTATTGGGCCATTTGTTTTGCCTACTTTTGGGGGGGTTAGGTAACTCAAGCCCCACACCCTATTTCCACCTCAACCCTAAACTTCTATCTCAGGATGCTCAGCGCGCTGGAGAAGCTTGAGTCGTCTAGAGGGGCGGAGAAGGTGGAGGCTGCCCCTGCCGCAGCCAAGGAGGCGTCTGTGTTCTGTTCCGTTGTTCCGTGAGGGGGGGGGGGGGGGGGCGGGGATTCGTTCTCTCAGCCCGTGTCCCCCAGCATTCCATAGTTCTTGCCAATTTGCTTTGCGCCGACCCGTAGAATCTTTACTAGAGTACTGAATAATGACCCTAAACTCTACAAAATCTAAAACTAGAAGTTCCGTAAACCTCAAGGCTAGAAAAGCCCAAACCCTAGAAATTATCATTCCTGAACTACGTACGAATGGTACTTGTCTGTACGGGTATTCAGGTTGTCAGCGTTGAGGGTTACATATGTGCACGTGCACATGTATGCATCGATGGATGTGTGGATGTACGAACATGTATATTTGAATGTGCGTATGTATGTATATATACATATATATAATTATTTATTTTTTTGGATAGACAGGTCAGTACTAGGTAGGTTGGCCGGACGCTCTGTAGCTGCGTGGGTAGGTGTGTGTACACCCCAAACATCCCCAAACCCTCTAGGACCTAAACTCTAAACCCTAAACCCCGTAAATCCTAAAACCCCCTAAACCCGAAAAACCAAAGTCCTAAACCCTAAACTCCTGAATCCCCCTGAACTCCTTAAATCCCTTAATTTGAGGAATATAGACCTTATACATTATACTAGGATCCCTAATCTGATTTAAGGTAGATTCCTTAAAGTACACTAGGATCCCTATATAATCTGATTGGAGGTATATTCAAACCCTAAACCCTAAACCCTGAACCCTAAACCCTAAACCCTAATTATTCCACCATGAGGCGATTTTGGAAGGTCTCTCGAAGAGCCTCGGGGTTTGCCGAGATCGCCTCGGCTCCAAGTAGAAAAAAACAGCATCTCCGAGTGTAGGGTTTAGGTTTTAGGGTTTAGGGTTTAGGGGTTTAGGGCCTAGGGTTTAGGGTTTAGGGTGTAGGGTTTACCTTAATAACTTAACCCTGAATAACCTACCTTTTATAGGGTTCCTTATTATGACTTTCTTATAAAAGTCCGAGTGTAGGGTTTACCTTAGCCCTGAAGAAACCTACCTTTTTCGGGCTCCTTATTATGACTTTCTTACAAAAGTCCCAAGGTAGGTCCTTCAGGGTTAAGGTAGGGTTTAGGGTGTAGGGTCTAGGGCTGAGGGTTTAGGTCTGTAAGGGTTCTAGAAGGGGTCTACCAGGACTTGGGGTTCCTGTACTAAGGGCTTCTTTAAGGACTCAGGGTTCCTGTAAATTAATACGGGGTTTTGCAAGGGTACCACTACCAAGAGGGTCCATATATGTGCTGCAATTCTGGAATTAGGTCCCCAAAGCCATCATGCCAGGAGAAGGATGGTCGGTTTATGGACATAATTTGATAACGGCAATATGGTTGATGGTAATAAATATGATCCCTCCGGGATCCTCCGGGTATGTGAGCTCAAAATGCCGCGCACGTAGGCCATCTGCACGAGATCGTACAAGGTGCTCTCGGTAGCCTTGGCTGTTTTGCGGTCAGGGTGTCATTCACTGAACATCCTTTTCCAAACATTCCCGCAGAAGGCTTCGGATCCTGTGGCGGTGGTGCTCGCGACGAAGCACGACGAATTCAGCTACGCCGCCTTCGCTTGCCTCCGTACCTCGACGACCTTGTAAACCCCTAAACCCCTACACCCCAAACCCCCAACTGCAAAACCCTAAACTTAAACCCTATAACCCAAGGTTCAGTGGAGCCACCCAGAGTCCATAGTAGTTCCTTTTGGGATCACCTTATAGGATTCTAAATATGAACCCCCAAAAGGAACTACTGTGCGTAAATCAGGAGGCTTCGCCCCGCTTCTCA